GGGGGGGGGAGGTGGTGAAACCCCTGGGGATGGGAGGGGAACAACTGACCTCATTAAACAGGAAGGAAACCTTACCTTTTATATTTTAGCAACTTTTAGAATGAAGTTAGTTAGGAGAAAATGAGGAGAATGAGTTACCTGAGATTGGGATTTAACGAAAATCAATCAATTATTTTTATTCTCGAGTCTTACTTAAGGAATGGTACTTTAAATGAAAGATGGAGTGATAACACTAGCTTTTATATTTTAATTAGTGACTAGGCTATCTTAATATTTATTTGGTTCTTTCATGGCTTAGTTAATTGTGAAACTGAAAAATGTGTTTAAACAAGTTCTCAATTCCAGTGGATTTGCATTTGGTAGTTGATGTGCTAATATTTTTTTTTTTCTTCTTCTTTATGGTTGTGGAATTGCTACTTGTCTTAAAAGACAAAATCCCAAATGCCACAGGCTTTTTCCTTAAAGCATTTGGCTACTGTTAACTAAGAGCTATGTATAGCAGTGCTTGCACAGGTGATTTGATGATAAGGTTTTTAAGGTTTCTAGGTAACCCTTTCTCTTTTGACTTGATTGTTCATTTATGGTTGTTAAACAATGTCCCTTAGGCAGTGGGGAAAGCAAAGTTAATTACAGGATCTCACAGGTGCTTCACTGAAGTCAGTAGTTTTCTCGGTGACTTCACTGACAAAATATAGAGGTCCCAGATGTGTCAGTGTGGAAAATAAATCTGTTTATTTAAAATCTTTCTTGTTAATCTGTTCACTTAAATTTCTTAAATATGCTAATGTAAAATCAAGTGATAGACATGCTATTCATGTCTGAGAACTATGTTGTGCTTATAGTTGCAGGATGATACTTGTTCCAGAAGTCTGGAGTTGAACTGCTAAGACTGCTTATTCTGCTTATATATAAGACTGGTTATTTCTGGCTTTAGGAAAAAAAAATATATAACTGTTTTCTAGCGTATGTAAGTTGTGAAAAGTAAATTAATGAAGGACACAGAGACTTGAGATAACTGATAGCAGGAAATACATAATGAGCCAATGTGTCTGTGCCACAAGGGCCACAGAGATGAAGAAGGGACTGGAACATCTCTCCTTGTGAGAACAGGCTGAGAGCTGGGAGTGTTCAGCCGAGAGAAGAGCAGGCTCCGGGGGGGCATCTCATCAATGTTTATAGATATATGGGGAGAGGGCACCAAGCTTTTTTCAGTGGTGCCCAGCAACAGGACCAGAGGCAATGGGTACAAACTGAAACACAGGAAGTGCCAGAAACACTTTTTTACTATGAGAGAGGTTGTAGAGTCTCCCTCAGAGATACTCAGAAGCCATCAGGACATGGTTCTGGCCAGCTGGCTCTGGGTGGCTCAGCTTGAGCAGGGGGGATGGACCAGATAACCTCCTGAGGTCCCTCCCAGCCTCAACCATTCTGTGGTTTTATTTTACTGTGCGCATACAATTCTTTGTATTGTACCTGTACTAATGTATGCGAGATGTTTGAACATAATAATGTAAAGAGATATTTGAATTTGTGTAAACAAACTTTGATTGTAACTGGTTTGGCCCCTGTGGAGGTGCTTCCTAGTCATCCCTTCTCTTAGAATTTGGGAATGTTAGTCCTCATTAAGTTTCCTTTCCCCTCCTAGCCATAGCCAGAACAGAGCAACGCCTTGCTCCCCTTTATCCTTCACTCTGCTGTGGTTTTGACCAACAGTGGGAGATGTGGCAAAGTAGGAAGGGATAGAGAAGACTTGATTTTAGAAATGTTAGATTAAGAGAGAAATAAATCCTGGTTCATCTGAGTGAACTAATTCAGTCAGAATATTAATTGAGGCACTTAATTTGTCAGTCAGGTGTTTAATAATGCTGAATGACATGACTTGTTGATAGATAGGTTTCTGTGCTAGTTAGCCTACAACTTAAATTGCTGTGAAAATTAAGTTAGATATTTAAAAAAAAATTGTGGGTTTGGTGAAATACTAAATGATTCGAGCAAATTATGCTCACTCATCCTGTGAGGTATTGGCGAGGTTTTCATAAGCATCTTTGTATCTTTAGAAGTGAGAGCATTCATAAACTGAAATTATTTTTGAAAATGGGAGTTAGGCTGCTTTTTGAACTTTTGTCTTCTCCAAAGGTCCTGAATCAAGGTAAATGTAAGGGGTTTTTTTGGTTTGTTTTCATGGGTTTTTTGTTGCTGTCTGCTATTGATTTGATCACAGGTGTCTTAGTCTATGAAGAACATATGTG